CAAGTGGTAGGCCGCTAAATAAGCTAGAAGTTATTCCTTCTACCCATAAAATGCTTGAGCTGGTGCGAGCTTCTAATATTATGGAGGTCGATGAGAGTAGGAGATTGATATTGATTGATGGCATTAACCTGCATAGAATAAGCCAAGAAAATCTACCAAGTATGTATGACTTATCCGATATTATCTTTCAGAGCATTGCTTGATGATGTTAACCTGTATAGAAGAAGATAAGAAAATCCACCAAAGATGTATGACCTATTCAAGTTTGTTTGTCAGAGCATTGATTGATGAGGGTAACATATAGAAAAGAGGTCGAGAGAATCCACCAAGGATGTGTGACATATCCGAGGTTATTTCTTATAGCGTTGCTTGATGATGTTAACATGTGTATAAGAGGTCGAGAGAATCCATCAAGGATGTATGACCTATTCAAGGTTGTTTGTCTGAGCATTTTCTTGATGACGTTAACATGTGTGGAAGAGGTCGAGAGAACTACCAAGAATATATTACCTATCTGAGGTTATTTGTTAAAGTGTTTCTCAATGATGTTAACCTGTGTGGAAGTGGTCGATAATATCCACCAAGGATGCTTGACGAATCTGAGGTTGTTTATTAGAGTGTTGGTTGATTATATTAACCTGTATGAAAATGGTTGAGAGAATTCACCAAGGATGTATGACCTTTCGAGGTTATATGTCAAAACACTGCTCGATGGCATTAACATGATGGAAGATGTTGAATCGAATCCCCCTGGAATTAATTTTGCCTTGATTGGGAGGGGGCAAAGGCCACGTGCATCCCAAATCAAAGGTAAAGAATTATTTATCTTTAGATAGTTACTATCTTTGTGATGTCGAGATTAAGATCTTGCCCAAAGAGTAGAAGTCCAATTAGGGGCTGTATAAAACTTGAAATTTAATGTAAGCATCCTTGCCCTTGTTAAAAGTTTTATAATCATAAGATATCATTTTGTATATTGGAAGAATTGGAGAAATAATCTTAACTAGGACTGTAGTCAAGGTTGACCCCTAGTCCATTTTTAATTCCCATAAAATTAATGCAGCAATAACTGATGCAAGGATATTAACACGGATGACCTTTTGAGATTGGAGAAAAAATTATCCCCTAGTCAGGAACAACATTTCCAAAGATGGTGCCAAACTGTTGTAAACTAGAATATTCGCAGTGATAAAGTGAATAAACTTTTAGTTTTAGTGATGCAAAGATATCCAACACATAAATAGAGAGAGTTGAGAGAAGTAGTAGAATATCCAACCTTTTTTATGTAAAAAGCCCAAAGAGGGAAAAACTACAAGGCCTCGCCTAGGTGAAAAGATTCCACTAAATTTGAGTGGGTTATAAAAGTTAACCCATCATTGACTTAGAGGTGGTCAAATTATAATAGTTTGGAGAGTTAAAGAAAGTTTTGGTGATGGTCGAGTATAAGTTTGATGGCATCCGGGCAGAAGTTCAGCTAACGGGGAGTGATTTGACAAAGGTCAGGCAGAAGTCCGGAGGCAGTTGACGGTTTGGCAGTGATTTGATGATGGTCGGGTTGAAATTTGATAGTGGTTGGTAGCTGGGTGGAAGTCCGACAGTATTCGACGACATAGTGAAAGTACAGTGGCAACCCAATGGAAGTTTGGTTGTTATCAGCAACTGGGTGGTGGTCCGATGATATTCTTTCTAAAGTCTGGCGGTGGGATGGAAGTCTGGCGGTGATCAGCGACCTGGAAGTGGTTCGATAAAGGCCAGGCTGATGTCTAACGACGATTAGCGGCCGGGTGGAAGTTTGGTGGTGGTCCGACGATGGTCGGGCTGAAGTTTAGCAGTGGTCGGTGCCCGATTGGAAGTTCGGTGGTCGACGATCGGGTAGTGGTCAACCGACGGTCGGGCTAAAATTAGGCAGCGGTCGGTTGTCGGGTGGTGGTCCAACGAAGGTCGGGCTAAAGTCCAGCAATGGTCAGTGGCTGTGTTGAAGTTCGGCAGTAGTCACTGGCCAAGCAGTGGTCTGACGACGGTCAGGCTGAAATCCAACAGTGGTCGACGGTCAGGTGGAAGTCTTGCAGCGGTCGGTGGCAGGGTTGAAGTCTAGTGGTGATCGACGACGGGGCGGTGGTTCGACGAAGGCTAGGCTGAAGGGTGGTGACATTTGACAGTCTGGCGACAGTCAATGTGGGTTCACTGGCGGTGGCGCAAGAGCTCTTGAAGCCTCAGAGCTCTCTACAACCTCTAGCAAAAGGTCCCATTCATGTAGAGAGTGAGGGTCTATTTATAGATTTTCATGAGTGGTACACCCCATAAATATAGAGAAGATCAGGGGCAGGTTCGGAGTGTTCCATCGGATGACTCATATTGATTCATCGATCATAAAGAGTTTTCAACTGTTTAAGTGCCTTAACTATGTCAGAATTTAGTGATCTTGGGCTTGTTGGATTCGTTTGGCCGAGCAGCTCGATTTGACTATAAGCATTTCATATTTGGATATCATTTTGTCATCCAAATAATACTTTGATCCTTCCAAATGTGGTTTGGGCCTCCGATTTGGACTCATTTGGGCTCGGGTTAGTCCGATTTCGGTGTTGTTAGGTTCGTCTCTTTGAGACGTTCAGTTTGACTATAAGTTTGCTGAAATTGGAATTTAGATGATCTCGAATTTAATTAGAAAATTTTCAATTTGAATATGCCTTGAAATTCGTGATCAATCAAAGAATTTTTGGTGACATATCAATAGTAATATTGAATTTGGCTTCAATACAATCATGTGTCCGATACGTCACAAAATACATATTTAAGACCCACCTAAACACTTGCTTGCACTTGCATACAAACGCCTTAGGCAATGTTTGCTCGAACTATCATGCTTGATAGAAGCAGCCATGAATTGTTGCTTGCTCGTTGCAATAACTTCGAACTCAACATTATTTGTTAGAATATTCATGCAAAGTAAATTTTAAGTCATGTTTTCTGGCAAAGCACATCTTCTCAATCAAATTGTTTGTAATCAATAAATAAATTTTTAGTATTAAAATTTTTTCAATTATAGATTTTGGTAATAAAAAGTCACTTTATAGAGCAATAAAAAAGATGTTCCAAATTATGCCTAAGAGTACATATTGAGGCTTCATTTGAGATATCTTTCTTACTATTTTTAAAGCAACTTTTTAGTGCAAATATTTCTAATTTAATTTCTTTTTTAAACTAAAAACTTGTTTTCAAAAACAGTAAGATAGGTGTCCCAAACAAAACCTAAATTGAACTAACCCCACAAAGCCAAGCATGGGATGTGGAAAAAATATAGGATTCAATTTGCCCAAAAATCATTCATGAGAATCAAGAAGTAGTATCAAGGCTATCCTAAGTTGCCATTGAAATAGGCCAAGGTTGTCTAGGAGGGAGCATGCAAGTTCACCCATTTAACAGGCAACTAGCTTTGACGTCTACTTAGCCTTTAAGCACAATGATGAAACACGTGGAGGCCATATCAGATGCCAGCCGCTCATGACTTGCTCGATTTAAATTTTTTAATAAAAAATTCATTAGATTAATTTTAAGTTGTATCTTAAAAAAAAAAAAAGATAGTAAGCATCAATCCAACTATAATTCTAATGGCACCGAATTCATACTCTCATCAAGTCACATTCTTTCAACTCTAAGATTATATCTTTATAAGAAAAAAACAAAGTCAAATATGTCAAATCATCGCCCTTTTGAACATTATAGAATTATGAACAGTATCTTAAAAATGTCAACTCAAGAAATAGCCACTCAGCCGGCAATTCTGTATGACTTTCACACACGTACATCAAAGTCAAACTTCAGCGGCCCCGACGTGGACCGCCACCACCCTCCACGTGTCCAGTTCGATGCCTTTTTGTTCTCGCGTAATATCCGTCGTGTGATCCAATGGTCGATATCAGACCACGGCGACTCATCGAATGGCTGCCTAGCCACCGCATTATCTGACTGTTAAGAGCGGGTCCCGTTAATGTGGGAAGCAATATGAGACGTGTCGTCCATTGATTGGACAGGCCCATGTGAACTCGCCGGACGCGTCCAAAAGACAAATGGCTTTTTGGGAATTTCATAAAAAGTTTCTGAATTTTTTTTTGGATAAATGAGTCAATATAAGACGCTTGCTTATTCCTGATGGGTAGCATTAATTACGTGATTAAATTGAAATAGGGACATAATGCCTTTCATTTATCATTTATGAGCTTCCTCATCCATTGATTTTTTTTCTCTTGAGTTACGCCGCTCACAGTTCGGAACAAGTCTTGCTTTCTTTTCCAATGTTCTCCGAAAACTTATAAACTTTTTAATAATTACTTTTCTTATTAAAATAATAATTGATACGTCATCAAAAATAGTCTCAATCAAGCACGAATCTCGAGGCAAAATCAAGTTGGAAACTTCCAAAATTAATTCGGAGACCATCCTAACTCCGATTTCAGTAAACTTACAGTCAAACTGAGCGTCTCAGAAATATGAACTTAACGACACCAAATTCGACTCA